ATGCAGCCTCCTGTTAACATACTTGGGAAGGCAGGGGATAGTGGTCCCGGATTTGAACTCTTGCCACTGAAAAGTGAAAAACAAAAATTCCTCCAAATGCTGACACGTTTCATCATTCAAATCTAAATACTTTACACTTCCCATCATAATTTTTTTTATTAATGAATTATTTTAGAAACTCGTGGTTTTAAACATACAGGGTAAAAATTTTGCAGTGCTGACTTTTTTTTATTTTTTTTCACATTTTATTATTATTGCTATCATTTTATGATTTAGTCCCATATTCCCTTATCCGCTCCCCAATTCCCTCCCCCCTCCCAGTTCCTTTATATCATTACTAACATATAGTTCTTCATACTCAGTCATATGTTCATCATTGTGGGCATGGACAATGGCAGAGAGTCCAGAATCCTATTGTCAAAATATAATATAAACAGTTTCACTGTAAGTCCATCTTTGTCTGGAAACAGAAATGCATACCACACTGCATCCTCACATCTGGTTGTTAGTCTCCATTATATAACTACTGTACATTCCCTTAAATGAAAAGTCATGATACAAAATCAACAATAGAAAGAAAAATAGAAATTTACAATACCATGAAGTTAAATGACATGTTACTAGAAATGACAGCCTCCATTACACAACTACTTTACCTTCCCTTAAATGAAGAGCCACAAAATAAATACAACATCCGAGAGAAAAAAGAAATTAACAACACCAAGCAGTTAAACAACATGCTATTAAATGTATAATGTGTAGCTGAAAAAGTGAAAATCAAGAACCTTCTTGAAGAAAATGATGCCACTGTATGATCTATAAGTCATTGGATGATTTAATCAGAAGAAAGTGTTTTGAAGAGATGAAACCAACAGAAAACAACAAAACCCATGTTTCCACTGATCTTTGTTGGAGTGTGTCTCCTCCAGACAATAAACAGATGGGTTTTGTTTTTTAATCCAGCCTACTAATCTGATCTTTGATTGAGCTTAAGCAATTTACATTCAGAGTTAAATATACATAGGTGGTACTTTGGTCCTGTCATTTTAAAAATGGGTTGTTCATTGATTTAGTCTTCTGTTGTCATTTTACTGGGATGTTCTTCCCGTTTGCCTTTAGTTTTGGTTGTTGCTATTCCTCTTCTCTGTCAAGAGAACATCTTGAAGTATCATTTGTAGGGCAGGTTTGGAAGAGGCAAATTCTTTCAGCTTTTCTTTACTCTGGAAGAATTTTATTTCCTTTTTAAAGATGAAAGAAAGCTTTGCAGGGTATGTTATCCTAGGCCGACAATTTTTTGCTTTCAGAATCTGGAATACGTCACTCCATTCTCTTCTTGCCTGTAGAGTTTCCTGTGAGAGATCTCCTGTGAGCTTAATTGGCCTTCCTTTATATGTCAGTTGATGTTTTTCACGTGCACATTTAAGGATCTTTTCCTTATGTTCAATTGAAGAGAGTTGGATAATCATATGTCTTGGTGAAGATCGCTTTTGATCAAGCCTGTTGGGAGTTCTGTATCCCTCCTGGATCTTGTTTCCCACTTCTTTCTCCAGATTAGGGAAATTTTCCTTGATTATTTCATGAAATACATTTGCAAACTCAGCTTCTCTTTCTGCACCTTCCGGGACTCCCAGAACTCTTATATTTGTCCTCTTAATAGTGTCTTTCAATGCTTGAATACTTTTTTTGGCCTGATCCAGCTCTACTTCTAGCTTTTGTTTGCTTCCGCCTGGTGACAGGAGATATCTGCCAATTCTGAGATTTTTTCTTCTGCTTGCTTCATTCTATTTTGGAGACTCTCCACTGTATTTGTAATTTGCTCTACTATGTTCTTAATTTCTGATATACCAGCCTTGGTTTGCTTTACTGCTTCCTTAAATTCTTTGAACTCTTGCATGAGCTTCTCATTATTTACCAGAATCTTCAAAATGAGTCTTATGGATTCTGTGTCCCCCATTTTCTCGATGTCTTCCTCAGTTAACTCTGAGGTTGGCATAGGGTTTTGCTCCTTTGCAGGGAGGTTTCGGTAATATTCATTGTACCTTTGTCTCTTCTTTTGCTCTTGATCATTGTACTTCTGGTTAGCAGAGTCTTCTCGTTGGGGCAGGTTTCTAAGCTGTGTCACCCACAGGTCTACAATGCGATTTTACTTATTGCAGTCAGCACACAAGTTTTTGCTTGCAGCCACTTGTGCCACAACCTTCAGCGAGTTCCAGGTCTGGGTTCTTATGTCAGATATCCACCGTGGTCTCCACAGCTCCAGCTCTTGGCTCAACACTCTCCACCTCCTGTGATACCGTGCTGAGGCTGCACCGTTGTCTCTGCAACCTTTCTCCCTCTTCCAGTTGGAGTGGGTTCCAGGATTAGAGAGACACCAGATGTCCTATCTAGTTAGGTTGTTGGTGGCGCAGATCTTGTCGTAACCTGTTGGACGTTAGGTCTGGGTGCCACACGGACCTGGTTGCTGGTGGAGTTCAGTCTGCTGTTGGAGTTCAGATCACCATGCTGGAGTATCATTCACTGCAACACCACATTGCTGTGCCCGCTGCTTTCCTGTGTCTGTCAGATTCCAGATACCCCTCTGCTGTTGTTCTGTCCTTTCCTATTTCCTGAAATATGTCCTCTCTGCTTCATTCTGATTAAATGTTTCTCCATCTGATTAAACATGTCCTTACCCTATTCCGTCATCTTGATTCCCTGCAGTGCTGACTTTTCATTGATTCCTAATTACATAAACTTCTGGTTAGGGAATGTGATCTGTATGTCAGCAAGTTCCAGTACAGTAATTTCTGACTCCCAGAGTAGTTACATTTTTATGAAAATCCTACATATGCCTTATCATAGGTTGGGTCTTTTCTCCTCCTGGTTTTACACGGTCTATGTTTTGCCTAACCTCATGTGCTTAGCTTCTGGAAAGAAGCAGTTGGACATCTCCTGCTGTGACTATGGAATAGTGTTCCTCCCACTTATCCTGCCACGTGTGAGCACCGCTTTGCACGCTAGGTCTGACACACACACCTGCCTCTCAGCATTCTCTTTTTCCAGTGACGAATCTCTTTTCTTTTCCCCCTCCTACTCTTCATTCCTTTCCTTATCTCTTGTTTCTTGATGTTCTTTATAAATGACTCGCTTTGTAAAGAGCTAATGTCTGCTTTATTTTTTTGTTTTGATTTAATTGACCTTGGTCTTTCCTTAAAGTCTAAATAATAACGATATTAGGGGGTTCAATACATTCTGAAGACACTAAGTGCCAGGCACAGCTCCATGTGCTTTATGAGCATTAATTTATTTCATGCTCACGACACTGAGGCAGGTGTATTGGGTTTTTTCATATTTTTTAAATATGTGCAAGAGGACATGTGAGGATGAGCACTGAAATGACTACAAACATCAGAATCTGCTGCAGGACTCTAGATGAAATGAGCTTGTCTTATGATTTCTATAGATGAGATACACATGTTATAGAATAGTACAGTGTAATGCTTAACTAGAGTAAATCAGTGCAATTACCTTGGAGGTCCAAAAAAGCAGATTATTGCCAGTACCTCACAAATCCCGACTGACTTTTAAGAAGGGGCTTATTTAGGACTGTGATTTGATCATTATTCACGTAAATGTCAACTGAAACCATGTGATCAACCTTTTTATGGGAACAGGGAGCATCCCCTTAAGTCCATATTTAATTTCAATATGAATTGAATACAGATGAACATAAAATCTATTCACATGAATAAAAGATAATTTCTAAGGCATTAGTTTTTAGACTAAAAAAAGGACACAGATATAAAGAAAACAAAATGGAACTTAAAAATGTGTAATCATATATATTTTTAGAAGTAAACCTAATAGTAATAGCTTTAAGGTAACAATCATTTGATTAAAGCAAAATGAGTTTAAATTTTCACTGTGTGTTTCATGCTTAGTATCCAATAATTGCCAAATAATAAAATGTGACTTGGATAAGTATAACATATCAAAATATATTTGATTAAATTTAAGTCTATTCAGAATTTTATAGTATAGAAATTGACATGTGGGCCTGGCACGGTAGCCCAGTAGCTAAAGTTCTCCCTTTGCATGCACTGGGATCCCATATGGGTACTGGTTCTAATCCCGGCAGCCCCGCTTCCCATCCAGCTCCCTGCTTGTGGTCTGGGAAAGCAGTCGAGGATGGCCTAAAGCCTTGGGATCCTGCACCTGTGTAGGAGATTCAGAAGAGGCTCTAGGCTCCTGGCTTTGGATTAGCACAGTTCTGGCCATTGTGGCCCCTTGGGGAGTAAATCATTGGACGGAAGATTTTCCCCTCTGTCTCTCTTCCCCTCTGTGTATCTGACTTTGCGATAAAAATAAATCTTTGAAAAAAAAAAACACATCTATGAAGTGTTTTTAAAATGAATATTTTAGCAACAAACTACAATGAATATATACCACCAAAACTAAACAAGTAATATTTAAAAGAATTTCATATTAAAATACTAGCTTTTTCTAATGGAAAATTCCATAAATCTTCTGCATTTGAAACAGTATTAAAAAGGAAGTATAGAAAAAAGTATAGAAAAAAGGCAAGCTATATGAAAACACACTAAATATTGCTAAAACTAAATGGACAACATTGATAAAAATAACATTTAGAAGTATTCCCCTTAAATTGCTGTGCAGCAGTAGCTGAGTTATGTGCCCTTTAATTTATGCCCAAGACGGATAGCCTGTTAAGGGGCATATGTGTAACCATTATAATTGATAGTAGCTGAAGGCAGACAGGTCATAATTTCTATTTAATGGATTGGCCAGAATGGGAACAAAGTCCGCCAAAGCATTTTAAAGTGAATGCCAAGAAAGTTTACACTGATGTCCAAAATAATACTTACCTTGTAGCCTTTTCTTTGTTAATTTTTGATTAAAAAATTTAGCTGCAGCAAAATCTATACATTACTAAGTCAAAATTTTGATTCAACCAATTACTAAAGAATTTCAAGGTAAGTGGAAAAGAATGTTCAACTAACCATTCGATGGCTCATTTCTGTGCTCTTCTTTAGCGCTTGTGGGAGAAGTAAACGGGCTCATCTGACAAGTTCCAGTTGTTGGCGAGTAGTTCGCTGTCCTTGTGATTCTTGAAGGAGTAGATGACTGAAAAGAAATATTAATTGGGGGACGGAAACAGTTCACTTGAGGTTTTTGAAAATGCTTTTAAAATTCCAAATAATATTCATTTTTTCTCTTTTCTTATCACCTTTAAAATGAACATTAGTCTTTCAAATTAGGTGTATATTTCAAGCCTTTACAATAACTTTATTGATAATTGTGAAATTATAAAAAAAAGTGTAACTGTTGTCAGACAGGCATTTTCCAATGAGTTTAGATTTTGCTAATTCTCCAGTTACCACCTTGCTTTTGTCTTCAGCAGAACCTGAAGTACATAGGGGAGCAGGACTGGAAGTGGAACAACCAGGACTCAAACTGACACGCATATGGGATATTGACTCTGCAAAGAGCAGTTTAATGTGTGCTCATCAGCACCTATCAGACGGAAGCATATTTCTACTCCCGTAAGTTTTATTCTTTAATTGTGTGTAAATATTTTTTATTTGAAAGGCAGACTTTTACAGAGAAGAGAGACAGAGTGAGACCTTAAGTTTTCTTTCCCTCAAGATTTTTTTCCATGGTCTTCCTTGTCCTCTTTGAAGATGCTTTACAAAGAAAATTAATCTAGAATTCATCTAAGAACCTGCATTCTGCTATCCCCTTAACTTTGAAAAAACTGGCCTACCCTTAACCTTTTGTAAGATCAAACCATGTACAGCATAGAATTTCAGCATTGAATTTTCTGTCTAAAAGACAAAGCAGGGTCCGGTGGCGTGGCCTAGTGGCTAAAGTCCTCGCCTTGAACGCACCCGGGATCCCATCCCAGCAGCTCCACTTCCCATCCAGCTCCCTGCTTGTGGCCTGGGAAAGCAGTTGAGGACAGCCCAAAGCTTTGTGACCCTGCACCCTTGTGGGAGACCTGGAAGAAGTTCCTGGATCCCGGCTTCGGATCGGCATAGCATCGGCCGTTGTGCTCACTTGGGGAGTGAATCATCGGACGGAAGATCTTCCTCTCTGTCTCTCCTTCTCTCTGTATATCTGACTTTGTAATGAATAAATAAATCTTTAAAAAAAAAAAAAAGACAAAGCACCAATATTCTCTGAGTAGTTTCAAACAGGTAAGACATTTTCCTTTAATACTGCTCACAAATTATAGCTCGTTTCGTCTTTGTGCATAGCATGTATTCTATGAAACAGATTTCTGCATTTTACTGTTTTTTTTTAACCTATTCAAGCAATCTAGAAAATATTAATTAAGGGTTTCTTCAGGATGAAATGTGGGATACAAAGACTCAGTCAAGAGACTATTGGAACTCATAAGAGACTTTGGCAGAGTAGCAGAATACAAAATTAATGAACACAAATCGATGGCACTAGTGCACACAAATAATTCCATGGCTGAGAAAGAAACTGTAAGTACAGTCCCCTTTAAAATAGAGGAATTTTAAATACCTAGGAATTAAGTTAACTAAATATGTGAAAGGCCTCTATGATGAAAACTTTAAATCATTTAAAAAGGAAATAGAAGAATACCTTGAAAAATGGAGAAACTTACCATGCTCCTGGATTGGCAGGATCAACATTATCAAAATGACCATATTACCAAAAGCAATATACAGATTTAATGTAATCCTAATCAAAATCCCAACAACATTCTTCTCAGAAATAGAAAAGATGATACAAAAATTCATCTGGAATCATGAAAGACCACAAATAGCTAAAGCTATCCTGAAAAATAGAAATCCAGCTGGAGAAATCACAATTCCAGACCTCAAGACATACTACAGGGCAGTGGTTATCAAAACAGTCTGGTACTGGTACAGAAACAGAGAAGATCAGTGGAACAGAATAGAAATATCAGAAGGGAACCCACACATGTATAGTCAACTAATCTTTGACAAGAAAACAATCCAGGCAAAAATCCTGAAGTATAGACCAATATTACTTAGAAGAACAGATGTAAAAATTCTGGAAAATTGAAACCAGTGGGCACTGAAAAAGAATTTTATAGCATAACCAAGCTGAATTTATCTCAGGGAACAAATGCTGGCTCAATATAAAAAATTATCAGTGTAACACAGCATATTAAAGGAATAAAGAAAACAAATGATGATCTCAATGAATGCAGAAAAAGCATTTGATAAAATCAACATTCCTTCATGGTAAAAAAAATACTCAACAGACTAGGACTAGAACTTGCTCATTCTGAAAAAGGTTATCTGTGAAAGACCTATAGCTTACATAAGTTAGTGGTGAAAAACCAGATGTATTCTTCCTAAAGTGAGGAAAAAGGCAAAAATGTTTGTTCTTGCCCACTTCTATTTAACATGCTCTGGAAATTCTGGCCAGAGCTATAGAGAAGAAAAAGAAACACAAGGCATCTGACTGCAAAAAAGAAATTAAATTCTCTTTACTTATAGCTGACCTTTTGGGTAGAACACCCCAAACAACCTATTAAAAACATTTATTAGAGCTAATAAATATTCAGCAAAGTTCTATGACAGATGACTCATACATAAAAATCAACTGCTGGCATTTTACATGGATGTCGGTTTAAGTTCCAGCTGCTCCACTTCCAATCCAGCGCCCTGCTAATGCACCTGGGAAAGCAGGGGAAGATGGCCCATCCCAGTCTTGGTGGCTATTTAGGGAGTGATCCAGGGATGGAAGCTTGCCCACCCCCTCTCTCCCCTCTTCTCTTTCTCTGTAACTCCTTCAAACAAATAAAGAAATCTGAAAAACAAAACCCCAAAGAAACCGATAGGTGCATTTCTGTATATTAGCAATGACAATCTAAAAATGAAATTATGAAACTATTCATTATAAATTTAGCCCAAATGTATACATTCTGTATACTGAAAAGTATAAAACATTAGAAGAAATTAAACAGCTGAGGCCCCTGCAAAGAAAGATGGATAAAGAAACCGTGGTACATTTACTCTACAGAATACTACTCAGCCATTAAAAAGAATGAATATTTGCAACAAAATGGTCTCAGCTGGAGACCATTATGCTCAGTGAAATAAGCCAATCCCAAAAAGGACAAATATGTTCTCTCTCATGTAAAGCAACATTCATGCAAAATGTAAAACAAATAGTATGTATTAACATATATCTGCATATATTCTCAAGCATGAATTGTAGAATGGACTAGCATACCAGGAAATCAAGATATGTTGTAACTCCAGAATAAAGGGAAGATTCCCAGTGAAACAGTTAAATATACCTTGACAATATAAAACTAGATCTTCTACAGTGCCATAATACACTTACACCTGATCTTAGCCAAAAGGCCGAGAAGCGATACCACACTACGCTTCAATAGCAGAAGGCTGAACTCGTGACTGTTGCTGAAGGACTATATTATTGCAATAATATGGAGCAAAAACGGTGCAGGGGAGCAGTGGGGAAACTGGGGGGAAACATGGGGAATCCCTATACCTACAAAACTGTGTCATGGAAATAACAATAAGTACAAAAAATAAATGAAATAATTAACAGAAATATAACATGAAGGAAGACACACAACTGGATGCAATCAGAATCCACAAAGAAATCTACACATTTATAACCAATTGATTTATAGCACTGTACCAAGACCATTCAGTAGCAATTTGTTACTTTTTCAACAAATGGGACAATTGGCTACCCACATGCAAAGAATGAATCCTTGAACTATGTACAAAAACTCATTGTTCAACTAGAAAGAAAAACAAGTAAAAAATTTGTTTCCATATATCAGGTTAAGTTTCTCAGATAAGACCCCAAAAAGATAAGATATTCCAGGTAATAATACAGTGAAATCTTCACCGACTTTGAACGCTCAACAATCAGGAGGTCCAGCAAACTGTGGTACTTGTAGTATTTAATTCCTACATTGCATCCTACAAGAATGACCCACATCTAACTCCTCCCAATTAAGAGTCATGAGAAAACAATGCTTGCAGCCTCACTCAAACATTAAGGAACATTAATCTCCACGTAGGTCCTGCCAGTCAGCAGTCCCAAATACATGTGGGAGAGAAGCACGGAACTTAGCACAGACAGACCCTGCTCAGACCAACAGCAGACCATGGCCATCTTCCTTCCTTGGACACACGGTTCCTTCCATCAGGATCATACTTGTAAGGCAAAATGACCAAAAAGCTACAAGTAGCTTCTCTATTGCTTCATAACAATTAAGTGCTTCTAGAATTATACGTTCATGTTTTAAATGTCTGAATTTGGACAGAGTAAGGCAGCTTCAATGGGACCACAGGCCACTTGGTCAGATAACTGGGAACCAGGTTGTGTAAGAAGTCACTAATGTGGAGGGTTTACCAAGAAGGATGGGAGTGTGTGTATATATGTGTGTGTGTGTGTGTGTGTATACCCAAAGGAGAGAAGCTGGATGATACAGGAGTAAGATAGAAGTCATCATTTCTAAGATGTAAATTCCAACCTAAAAACAAATTACAAAGCAAGAGTACAAAAGCTGACAATATCAGGTAAGGAAATGGAATGAAAATTTGGAAGGAAGGCCCAGGCTAGGAAAATGGGAACCTGCTCTGAGCTGGTGGTAGCTATGTGGTACCTAAGTTATGTCAACTGACTTAAAGGTACAGATGAGGCCAAACGTAACAATGTGAGTTTCAAAAACAGGACATTCTATTTAAAGGAAAAATAGAAAGCCTGCCATGACTACATGAGATGGTCATTCTTTTCATTCAAATAATGTTATCATCTCCCAGAGAACAGCTTTGGGGCAGCAAGAACACTATTTCATTTCGAGCTGGACGCCTCATCTACTAACACAGCATTCTGACCAAAGAAGCAGATGTAAAATTACAGCCACAGCTGCATTCTTCACAGAACAAGTTGGATAATTGTACTCCAAATTGCTAATTACCCTGTTAATGACTTTTTTAGTGTCATTACAGTATTTTGCCACCTTTGTGGCAAAAATTTTTTAAACGCATCTATGAAGTTTTTAAATAGTAAATTTCTGCTATGTTAAGTGCCAGTGAACCTTCCAAAGCTAAATTCCATATAAAATCCGTCTCCCGAAATGGCATTTTCATAAGGGATTTTGTTACAGCACATTTATTCACTAGCTATCTGTTTTAACTTACTTTCTCACCAATTTACTTGCATTTAAGCTTACTGAGGTCCTATGTATTAGTGTTTGTATCCAGATCCATATTTGGTATAAAAATATAATAAAAGAACATGTGCCAAGATATGTTGGCACTGAGAATGTGCCATGATCAGATGTACAGAAAGTAATAGCAACAGCACAATTTTACTTGTACTGTGATAGCCATGGTGAAAATTTTTATACTGTTGGTATTCTGTTGCCTAGTTCATAGCTGATACAAAAATATAATTTTTTTTCCATTTTAGATGAAAGTATTGCCTTTTTAAAAAATCTTTTTAAATACATTTAAGGTGCAGATTATTTTTCTATAAATGATGAACAAGCTTTAATTGTTATTTTCTGAAAGTTTCTAAATAATCTATTTAAGTAAACATCTCTAAAAACTTTCAGCAAATTTACAAAACTGTTTGCATGCATAAAATGGTTTACCAGTCATAACATGCCACGCCATTTCTAAGAATTTATATATTTAGAAAGGTAAGTCAGTAGTTAAAATTAAAAATAATTTTATCATACAATAAAATTCTTAGACAAACGCTTAGATAAACTTTTAGACAAATACTTACATGTGCTTCCAACTTCAGTGATCTTTTAACACTGCAAACAAAATTTAAACATCTTAAATTGATATAGTTTAAGTAGGCAAGTATTTAATAGTTATATAAATAACAATTCTAGGAAGTTTTTATAAACTAGATTTTTATAGTACATATTAAAGCAGAATATTAACAGAAAGTAATTATTTGCAATGATGACCTTGGATTTTTTAATAGAGAAAAAATATCAAAATGGAATAAATTATAAATGCATCATTTATTTGGTATATGTTATTTTATGTACATGACTGCAGTATGATTTAAACATTAGTCATAAAGTTGAAATTAAAAAGCATATTTGCTTTATAATACCACTAACAGAAAACTTTGAAGGTAAAATAATTTACATACCTTCAGTGGAGATGCTGAAAGGCTATCATTTTCAGATGTAATGCACTAGGTATTAGAGGAATGAGTGACATGGAAAAGGCTCCGTACATTATTATACCTTTAAACATGATTCAGGGCAAGCAGACTAGGACTTAGCTGAGGAACAGATGTGCTGTGTCTTTATAAGTCCCCAATCCATAAGAAAGTATTTCTTGTTTCCTTCACTAAACTGAACCAGGAACATGCCAGGCTTTCTCTGTGCAAAATCTGTTCTGCTAAACTGGATGCCCAGCTGTTGGTGACAGTGCTTAGAAAGGAAAGCTGAATATTTATAAGATTTTATTTCGTACAGCTGTCTTCTAAAGAGCAGTCAGACATTTCATTGAATACAGACTAAATGCTCAAAGGAGAAAAAGGTCAATATAAATTAAAACTGGTTTACCAGTGACAAAGTTAGCATTAAGAGTACTTTTTTATTCTTGAGAAACAGAAATCAACTTATTTAAAATATCAGATTTTTAAAGCATGGTGTAAAAGGCTATACTAGGAAACTTGTTCTAGGAATCAGCCCCAAATTTTGTGTACATCTTGTAATTTTTCCTAAATAACTACTACTTTACAAAGAACATACTGAATGGAAAAAAAAAAAACAGAATAGGTGGTCAATTTGTGAAAACTATTAAGCAATAAATATCAGATAATTTATTTGAAAATTTGATAATTTATTAATCTAGTTGTAATGTATCTACCTAGACTTATTACATTAGTTTTGTGATTACATTAGTTCTCAGAGAATTACGGACCTCTTTCAGAAATTTACATATGAATTCACAAAGTGAAGTGATATGAACAATAACAGATATTATTTTTAATTTCCACGTATAAGAAAATATGTGGTATTCATCTTCCCGAGTCTAGCTTATTCAGCCTCCTTACTTAATATGATGAATTCTGGTTTTGTCCACTTTGCTGCAAATGTCAAGATTTCATTTTCTTTGGCCAAGTACTACTCCTCTGCTCATGTGTACCACATTTTGGGCTGTTCATTCACCCACTGACGAGTATGTAGGCTGGCTCTGTATCTTGGCTATTTTGAGCAGTGACGGAATGAACAGAGAATGCAGATATCATTCCCCTATGCTGACTTCATTTTCTCCACATATGTACCCAGGTGGACAGCAAGGTCTTACAGATCTACTTCTAGCTTTTTGAGGAACTTTTATACTGCTTTTTATAATGACTGCACTAATTTTTATTCCCACCAACAGTGTATAAGGGTTCCCTTTTCCCCACCAGCTGCTATGGTCTTTTTGATAACAGCCTTCCTAGCTGGAGTGAGATGATGCTGCACTGTGGTTCTGGCCTGCATTCCCTCAGAGGCTAGTGATACGTATTTTTCATGTACTTGCGAACCACTTGCATCTTTTCTTTTACTTCTTAACTCAATTAGTTGCTATTTGTTGTTGAGCTTTCTCAGCTCTTTTATGTATTCTGCATATTAACCTTTTGTCATATGAATAGTTTATATTTTCCCTCATTCTGTAGCAAATCTAAATTTAAAATAGTGACTGCCAGAAGCTCTGCAGGGTAGGGTAAGAACAGCAGGAAAGCTGGATAATGGATTGTAAAACATAAGATAAACATGTGCACTGTAGCACAGGGGTGACCATGGCCCACAATGCTGGAGAAAGGAGCTGGCTGGCTCCAAACACAAAGATGAGTGAACAGAAAGGCTGATTGCTTAATATGTTTCGCTTAAGCTAGGTATATGTATTGAAAAGTTGCACTGTAGCCCCTAAAAATAAGCAAGTAGTACATGTTAACTCAAAATTTAAAAATAACTTAAAAAAGAAACCTGAAAAGGAGAAAAAATTTTAGGATAAAACAATCATTTGGCATAGTGAAAGGAATACAATGAATGAGTCCCGAGATGAGATCAACGCCTGCTTGATTTATCCTACTTTAGCTTAAGTATGTTTTGCACTCATTTTTAAGGTCTTTTTTAAGATGAGGAAACTACAACTTAATTTAAGTTTTATGTCAATGCTAAAAATGAAAAACAAGGCAGATAATTCCATGAAGCATTTGTTTAAATAAAATATTTATTTTAATATATTATATATTACATAAATGAAAAATATATCTTTAAATATATATTTAAACAAATGCTTCATGGAAGCATATGTATGTTTATATATAAAATATATATATTGTCTGGTTGGTGAAGAGATGTTCTGATATTTATAATACTTAAAAGTTAGAAATCTAAAACTCAAATTTGATAGCAAATCATTTCTTATCTTTTGCTTTCAAATGCTGTTAAAATGCGATACTATCTTTTTCTTTTTAAAGTAGTCCCTTATGAATGATCAATTAATGAATCACAAGAATTTATTGAAAAAGATACAAATAACTAGGAAATGAGGAAAGCTAAAATTCACAGCAAAAATATGAAATGCTTCACAAATGTGCATGTCATCCTTGTGCAGGGGCCATGCTGATCTACTTAGTATCATTCCAATTTTAGTATATGTGCTGCTGCTGAAGTGAACACTGATACTGTCTTTTATAAGGAGCCAAAATTCACAAGGATATTAACTGTCCAAAATATGGTCTCATTATTACTGGTGGTTAATTCTTAGGGAAAGTAAATTTTTGAAATTAAAAGATTTCCAGATTAGGTCCTTTGTTGATATAAGAAATACAAGGAAATATTAAATAGTAAACAGGGAAGTAAGGTTGTCATCTCTAGTTTGAACTATGGTAAGAATCTAAAATCATGATTTATTAAGGCTAACCTAGTGTGGTAGTATACAGATAAATCAGATACCTCATAATCAAAAGCTGGTAATATTTATAAGAATCCTAAAAACAATGAAGAGGACTAGAAGAAATCACTTAGCTCACCCAGCAGGGTCAACAAGATGCGATGTGCCTCGTGCCCCACATCAGAGCTCAGGTCCTGTACCTACATTTTTGTTAAGGGGCCAGAGCTATGGCTCAGTCGGTTAAGCTGCCGTCTACAATGCCAGCACTCCATCTGGTTCAAATCTGACTGCTTCACCCTCAACTCAGATCCCCGGTAATGCATGAGGGAATGCAGTGAAAGAAGATACAAATGCTTAGTTTCCTGTACCCATATAGGAAACCTAAATGAAGTTCCTGGCTCCCTGTTTCAGCCTAGCCTAACCTTGGCTATTGGGGCCATTTGGGGAATGAACAAGCAGACAGCTCACTCTCTGTCTATTCCTCTAAAACTCTGCCTTTGAAATAATAAAATAAAATTCTTAAGGAAAAAAAAAAACTTTGTTGAATTGAAAGGGAAAAAAAGTAAAGAAGTGCAAACTAGAGCAGGCCTTGTGGCATAATGGGAAAAGCTGCCACCTGGAATGCTGACATCCCATATGGGGGCCAGCTGGAGTCCTGCCTACTCCATTTCTAATCCAGCTTCCTGCTGGTATGCCTGGAAAAGCAGTGGCAGATGATCCAAGTGCTTGGGCTCCTGATTCCGTGTGGGAGACTGAGAGGAAGCTCAGGCTCCTGGCTTTGGCCTGACCAAATTGAGAATGTTGGGGCCATCTGGGGTGTAAATCAGTGGATGCAAGAGCTCTCTGCTCCTCTCTCTGTAATGGTGACTTTCAAATAAATAATCAATCTTTAAAAAAAAAGAAGAAGCAGCAGCATAAATCTATTAGAGGAATCTAAAACCATTTATTTAAGGCGTTTATTTATTTATTTAAAGGCAGAGTTAAAGAGAGGGAGAGATCTTCCATCCAATGGTTTATTCCCGCAAAAGGCCACAACGCTGGGGTGAGGTCAGACAGAAGCCAGGAGACAGGAATTTTTTCTGGGTTTCCCACTTGGCTGAAGGAGCCAAGGCACTTGGACCCTCTTCTGCTGGTTTTCCCAGGGGCATTAGCAAAGAGTTACATTGAAGGTAGAGCAGCCAGAAATCAAACTGATGGCCATGTGGGATGCCAGCATTGCAAGCAGCAACTTAATCTGCTTTGCCACAATGCTGGCCCTGACTGTATATTCCTACCATTCAGTTAGAACAATATCCACTGCCACTTAACTGGTCTTTAAATTAACAACCCAGTAGTTTCAAGGCACCCTTTTGTCCAGGAACAATTCATACTACAAACAAGATATGCTCCTAAGTGGACTAGGAGCATGTTATCAGGAACAGACAGGAAGATATGAATGAAACATAAGTCAACAGGCAAAAGTGGATTAGAGATATGGGATATCTCCTTGATTTTTTTTTTCTTACTTGTGCTACTATTACATAATATGATTAAAGGCAATATCTTTCTAGTAGTTCTGTAAAGTTATAACTGGCTCCTGGTAGTTCTGTAAAGTTTCAAGGGGCTCGGCTTTACCTTCTTCTTCTTCTTCTTCTTTTTTTTCTTTTTTTTTTTTTTGTTTAAGGAGTTCACAAAAATGAGGAATGGACTTAAATACACATTTCTCCAAAGACATAATAATGGCCAAGAAGCACAGGAATACATGCCCAGGATTTCAAATCCTCAGAGAAATGGAAACCAGAACCATAATAAAATACCACTACCTGTCCATTAAGATGGCTACCAGGAAAACAACAGAAAATAATCTGTATTGGCAAGGAGAAACTGGAATACCTGTGCATACTAATGGGAAAGTAAGAGTTGCAGGAAAACAGCATAGCAGGTCCTCAAAAATTAAAAAATAGATTTGTCTTATGATTCACAATTATTCTTTCCAAAAGAAACGAAAGCTGGGATAGGAACATATCTCAATAGCCAGTAGGGAGCAGCAACCCGAGTGTCCACAGAGAGACGGATGAAAAGCGTGGTATCTACACACAACTGAGGATGTTCCAGCCTCAAAAAGGAAGGGCATCTCACACACGCTCCAACACACAAGAACCTTGAAGAGATGATGCTAACTAAAACAAGCCAATTATAAAAGGCCACACATTGTAGGATTCTAGTCTATAAGGGCAGTCAAACACAGAGACAGAAAATATGCTGGTGGTTGTCCGGGGTTGCAGGGAGGGGACATTCAGAAACGACTGTTTAATGGGCAGTTTTAGCTTTGCAAGAGCAAAAAAAATTCTGGAGATAGATAGTGGTAATACTTCCATCAGTATGAATGCATTTAATCCAGAAAATTACAACTTAAAAATAATTAAAATGGCTAGTTTTAAATTATATGTGTTTTAGTATAATTTTAAGCTAAATAATTTTTAATGGAGATCTACCTAGTGTATTCAAATTACCTTCTTATGGGTAGCCTTATAACCTCTGTGCTGACTTCTCAATTTACCTAAATTCCCATCTATGGCCATAATTTTAATGATACCAGGATAAGGTTTGCTGGGATCAGAATTCTGATTGCTGCAGCAATTACTGTTATTCAGAGTTTTAAAAAGGCAAAAAATATTTGTTGTGCAATTTTGTATCAATAAGAGAAAAGCAAAAATATTGGTACTAACGGCTCCATTATTCTTTTAGATAATCCTTTCCTATTTCATCTAGCTTACCATGTGGTAGTATCCTGAATAGGATTTTGATTCATTAGAACAGACTGAGTAGATTCTATTACACAGTGTCACTCACACAAATTACAATATTTAAAAAATTATTCTGGGAGAAAATCTATTATTTGATTCCCAATCATGAATTAAGAACATCCATCTCAAAAGCTCACACAATTATGATTTGAGATTCCCTTATAGGACTTTAAAATATTAGATTACATGATAGAGATGAAGGTTGGGGTGGAGTTGAAGAACAAACTTAGTCAAGCAGTTAAGACTCAGGGAGCCTTGATGCTATGCCAAATTCTTCCCTAAGGTTGGGCAAAGCACATAATCTCCCTAAGCTTCATAATGTTTTATAGTAATACTGGCCTGCAAAGTAGCAACAAATTTCTGAGCCAGAGATAAAAATATCACTTAGTATATCAGTGTTTCCATTTACTCCTCACTATAATAAGATGATAATCTTGCCAGCTACCAACTTCACAAGAGTCTTCAGAGGATTATTGTGCGCACACATGAAATGCTTCAAAATCCTTTGACAGAAGGCAATGGACAAATTCACATCCCATGTGACTCCTTTGTGCAAAATGAGGTATCTGAAATTTATTTTCCACTCTATGTACAGAAATAAGCAAATAAGGAAGAAGATATTCAGGCCTTTGCTTTGTGTGTCCAAAACTTTTCATGGTCACACAAAGAAATCTCTGCCACACATGGGAGAGTGGGACAAACACTACTCTGCTACTGTGGAAGTGTGGTCATCAGTGCATCAGGACGCCTGAGTGAAACACCACAGCTGCTTCTCTTCATTACAAAACTGGGCGAACTTTTACCAGTTACCGGGCAATGTGTTTATTGTGTCAAAGCTTTCCTTATAAAAACATTAACAGATAATCAGCCACGGAATTCTTACAGAGCCAAACATATATTTGCAAATATGTATCCCAGAAGATAAATGGAAGTTTAATGTGCTGTAGGTTGGACAAATGAGAAGTGTCATAAGACTATGTTATTAAAGTCAGTATTCCTAAATATGAACACGGATATTTATCACTACTAGCTTCTGCCAAAAATCTCTCTGTGTGATATATTTTGTGTTAAGCTTACTTTGGTGCAAAATAATTTAAAATCTGTACACAAGTACCTAAACTGAGTATGTTCTTTAAGAGTCCCTCCTGGAAAATCCCTAATAGCCTACTGTAATAATCTTGGAAAAAATGATAAGCAGGGAGGGGAGACAGTGAAGGAGGAGGAGTGAGGAAAGAGGAACTTCTATGCTGCTAAATCTGTACTGTGAAAAATGTGAAATCTTCTCATTTTATATAAATCAAAACTAAGAAAATACAAATAAATACATATGTACTCATCTTTACAAGTTAAATTACAAAAATGACCACCAAAACACCGATACTGATGTCCACTCAGAAAACTCCACATGTCGGGCCCTGCGCCGTGGTGCAAGTGGTTAAGGTCCTCACCTTGCACGCCCAGGATCCCATATGGGCGCCGGTTCTATCCTGGCAGCCCCGCTTCCCTTCCAGCTCCCTGCCTGTGGCCCGGGAAAGCAGTTGTGGACGGCCCAAGGCGTTGGGACCCTGCGCTCGCATGGAAGACCCAGAAGAGGCTCCTGGCTTTGGACCAGCATAGCATCGGCCGTTGCGCTCACTTGGGGAGTGGATTATCGGACGGAAGATCTTCCTCTCTGTTTCTCCTCTCTGTATATCCACCTTTCCAATAAAAAATAATAAAAAATAAAATCTTTAAAAGAAAAAAAAAAAAAAAGAAAACTCCACATGTCTGTTAGACATTCCCCTATCACCAAGCATCCTTCCATTCCAACCCAACAGCACTTATTCCTGAGCTCTGGTGTTTTTCTCCTGACCAAGAAATGTTTATCTTGTTTGTTAGTTGATGGATTGTAAGTTTTAAAACATCTGCTGATCTCTTCCACTGATTAAAATTACTGGGGCCAGTGCCATAGCATACAGGCTAATCCTCCATCTCTGGTGCTGGTTTCCTATAGGAGTGTC